TGCCGGACAAGACATTGCTCCCAGAACAAAATGGGTGACCCCCTAAAATCATCATCACCCCCACACCCCTCAGCCATAAAATTATAAACGGTCCCACATGTAGGATTTGTGTCGCTTCAGCTTTGAGCCGTACCCAATACAGTTTGAACTATGCAAACCAATTTAAAGTAGCGGATCATTTAAAATGCAACAAATTAGGTCACAAACAGCTGAATACGGAAATGTTTTCTACAGTTACATAGCTTATTACGATAAAAATCAGAATTATTTTCAGAACACAATGGGGTGTTTTGAACTATTTCCATTAACGTGGCCGATTATATGATATTTATTACGTGATGTAAATTACATGATGCTTGCATTATAAAACAACACAGTTAATGAAAATGAAACGTCGTACACCATGAGAGGTTTGCTTGAGTGGGAATTGCCACACGATATATACGATTGAATAACTGACGAATACAAACATAATTAGAAACTCTTAAGGTGCTTCCAACGAAATACGCTGATAATTTTCGCGCTCCCCACTAGCATTAACTAAATCACGGCATAGATCGCCTACTAGAGTTAACCGGGAGCTCCACGAAATGTGGACTGTTTGTACACTATGCAAATCATACAAGCGAACCCTATAGCATAGCGTATGGAATTCTTTGTCGGTACCGAAAACATCACAAAATAGAGAGATTATTTATAAACACTTCCGGGATTGCAACGAAATCACGAACTAAAATGATTCATGTATAACACTGCGTTGCGAAATCTATTTCTTTGTACAAATGGGTATATAAAAAGTGACGTTTGCTTTCCATTCCGAACGTCGTTAGCGATGTCGACTGCAGACATGAACCCTACTAACGAAAAACAGTGTGCCAGCCCAAAGGCTGAGGAAAGCACTCGGGGAGCAACATCTCTCGAAGAAGCAAAACAAAAATACGAATTCTTCTGGAAAATTCATTCTCCCTTCAGTCAGTGGTACCCAGCAAGTTTCGAGGTGAATGGTCAGAAGTACAACTGTGCTGAGCAGTACATGATGTACCAGAAAGCAGGTAGGCGAAAAGGACTAATTAGTCATAGATAGACAGTAGATCTACCCCTCAATGCTAAATACATGTGGAAATAAATAATTGATTCTTGTTACCATGATAACTTAAAACATTTGTTTTCATGTCCCCATATCATCAAAAAGAAGTGTGCATTGCCCAATTTGGTGAGTGAGTTCAGTTTACGCCTCACTGAGCAATATTCCAGCTATACCCCATGGTACATAGCGGCGGTCTCCCAAGTTTGGTGAAGAAATATAGAACGTTTTTCAAGATCTGCTCCAGTACTGTCACCATTTCCAGCCTGTTGTAGCCATGGAAACTTGAAAAAATTATACAATTCAAAGTACACAAATTCCACTAGACCTATCCATGGACTCAGTTTGGTGTACAATTATTGTATGCTTTTCAAGATCTGCTCCTGAAACAACAGATAATAGTACACAGACTCCATTATAAAAACATATGGGATGGTGTGCTATATGCTGCATTAAACAACGATCAAACAAGGTGTTAGGGTGAATCCAACAGTCAGACTGAGACCTTTAGACTACTCATGATGTAGGGTTTTGTCATAACTGTTCGATCCCTTACAGTGTTTGGCATGGTAATATAAGTGGTTTGTCAAGTAGTACATTTTCACCTTTATTAATTAAGTCATCAGAATGAAAGGTCATGACAACTATTCAAATTGTACATGTTTTGTAATGATGGTTCGATTGTTGGTATCAATATCTGGACATTTTTGTTCAAGTGCTGTTTGCTGATGAGGAAAATGCTGCAAAAGTTCTCAAGACACAGGATCCTAAACAACAGAAGTCCCTTGGTCGGAAAGTGAAGAACTGGGATGATAAAACATGGAAGAATAACTGCCACAGAATCGTAGAGGAGGCGAATGAAGCCAAGGTGCCTAATTATACTTAATATTAGTGTTGTTCTTTATTTATTCTACTCAGTTATTCTGAGGAATGAGAGTTATCTCCCTTACACCACAAGATTCATGATATACATGTCTATTACCACAAGTCCCTACCCGACCATCTATCTAATGCTCTACGAAAACAAACATGCAGACAAGGTTGGGTATTAGTTACATGCCCCTGTGTTTGTCCTGACTTGGTTTGAAAAGCAAAGAAGGAAAGAGTGAGTTTAGTTTTACGCTGCAACTAAGATGATCAGGTGGTCAGGCTCACTGAGTTGATTGACACATGTCATTGTATCCCAATTGCTTAGATCAATGCTCATGCTGCTAATCATTTGATTGTCTGGTCGAAGCACAGTTATTTACAAACCGCCACAGCATGGCTCTAATATTACTGAGTGAGGTGTTAACAACAAACAATGATGAAAAGAGGCTTTAAAGTAATGCATATACAATTTCTTCCACTATGTTTCAGTTTGGTCAGAATGAGGGCCTGAAGAAACAGTTATTCGCGACATACCCCAAGACTCTGGTAGAGGCCAGTCCGGTGGATATTATATGGGGGATAGGGTACGCGGAGGACCACGTCAACGCCTGGGATGAGAGGAGTTGGAGGGGGACCAACTACCTGGGGTTTGCCTTGACAAGGGTTAGGGAGAAACTGATGAAGCAAGACGAACTCAAATGAACATTTACCATAATACCTCTGTAGTACCATCTCTCAGCCACATGCTTGCTGCATGACGGACAACCAGCCCTAGATCATGGTGACCATGGTGACAAGCGTGTTTCAAAGTGTTGCTAGGTTACCCACCCGGATGGGTGTCAATATCTACAACATTTAATTGTTAGATTTTGCATCCAAATTTTCAATTATGTAAGCTGGGAGATATTATTTGTTAAATGTTTTTAAACAGGTTGTTAAAGATGGACGTGACCTTCTGATGGATGTGAATCATGGGGTAGAGATGCAAGTGTTTTAATTGTTTCTGTTTTATAATTTACTGCCAAACTTTCGTCACAAGAGGCTTTTGTCTCAGGCCATGCTTCCATGCTGTGGAAAAAAAAATTGAAATACCGTCAAAAGAGATGTTGTTAAACAAGGACTTGTATAGACTTATTATTTTTTCAGAGTAGTTGATATTATTTCTGTAGTGTTGGTGTTATTTTCTGTTATTATACTTAATATTGCTGAGTGCCGCGTAAAACTACACTCACCAAACAATTATTATACTAATCATTTAAGCATTTATTTGAGTGATGATATGTCAGAGTTTCAAAATCAGTCTGCAGGCCCTCCTGTCTTTGTGAGGATTAAAGATTTTAAAAATTATTTTTTTTAGATGACCCCCCAATTCGAAATGCTTCCCAGTACAATACAGTCGGGGGTCATGAAAAAACAAATTTTTTAATCTTTAATAGCACTGTGCAATATTACTGGTAAACCGGTATATACCGGTACAGTATCTCGCGATACGATTATCGCGATGTGGTTCAGATTCTGCAATACTATATTGGGTCATCCAGAGTTAAGTCCCTTTGAATCATCTACCCTTGATTTCCATAGCAACAAAATGTGCTCTAAAAGTGCCAAATATACTTTTGTTTCTTTTCTGTTTCATGTAACATTTTACAAGTGGAAGTGTCTTTATGAGTGGCTTCAAAAGTGCCAAATATTCTACCAAATGCTTTAAATTTTGGGGTTTGAATGGTTTCATATGTGGCCTTTGGGAGGAATTAAGTGGCCTCAAAGGGACCAATCTTTTAAGAAAAGCAAGAGTTATGGATGTCAACTTCTTGTTGTGAATAACACAACGTTTCGGAGTGTATGCTTGCTCCTTCATCAGATCATGAATATTCCCAATAAAGAAGTTGACATCCATAAATCTTGCTTTTCTTATGCATTCCACTTCTAAATGCCCTTCAAAGATTTGACCAATCTTTTATTCGGACTTATAAGTAGAGATACTGGCTCTGAGTGACCATTTAAGCAGTGCACATTATTTTGTTATTTTTGTTTTGTTTCATAATGGGACATATGTTATCAATTATGATAAAGGCCAAAGTCTTATCAGTTTTCTAGTCAAGGATCTTAGTTATTGGAGGTCATGTGAGATTTTCAGCTCAAGTAGATCACCTAAATTATGTTTTGTTTCATTTTACAACAGTTCATGTTACAACACATGTTTATATTGGAGTTGAATCTGAATGAATCACTGACAAACAGTAACAATAATTACATACTGCATTGAAGTGCATTCTGTTGAAGCAAACAACACTGACCATGAAAATCATGTTATACTATTACCTTTATCATTATGTTCGCAAAACTTTGTTGCAATGCAGTTAATTCAATGAAATATTCCACATTAAGGCTGTATATCATTTATCTGTACACCACTGGCATACAGCCATACATAATGGGGACAGGGAGCCTGAACGTATGGTGTAACAGAAACTAAGAAGATGATGTCACACAGAGAGCTGTCATGATGTATGCACTTGGACAGAAACCTTCCAGTCAATATATCACAATGTGTATTGCAGTATCTCTTGAATTGTTGCAATATGAGATTCAGGGCAATATCCAGCCCTAATCTTTAATCCTCGCAATGACACAAGGGCCTGTGAATCTGTCAAGGCGTCAGTATAAAATTGATATACAATAGGGCATTTACCTGAGGTAAGCATTATTATTCAATAGCATCCTTTGACATAGCACACACATCACTCTTATCCCTTTCACACATTACCATATCAACAGAGCTACAATATAACAAAAAATGATATAAGCAGTCAAGGAGTTATCTCCCTTACATCCCTCAACCCATGATATGTCTTTTAACCCACTGGTTCATGTGACCAATATTCAACAATAACAAACCTGAAGACGAGGTCGGTTATCAGTTATATGTTTATGTGGCAATCCTTTAAAAGATGGTACTTGATGTTACCCTGTGTTATATTAAGGGAATGAAACCAGGGCTGGTCAAAGTCAGGTTACGGGACAAGTGTTAAACTGTTCTTGGGCTTGCACAATAAATATACAGAATCACATAACAGTGTCTATTATCTTTAATGAGTGAGTTGGTTAGTTTTACGCAGCATTTAGCAATAATCAAGCATCAATATCACGGTGGGGGCACCAGAAATGGGCTTCACACACATCGTACCCATGTGGGGAATCGAACCTGGACTTTCCGCGTGACGAGCGAACGTTTTAACCACTAGGCTACCCCACAGGCCTTTATCTTTAATGTAACACATGCTAAATATTCATTTTCCAGTAACATATGAACAGTTTAGTAAATGAGTATTTATTTTTTATTGACAGCAAAGGGGCGGTGGGATAGCCTAGTGGTTAAAGCGTTGGCTCGTCACGCCGAAACCTGGGTTCGAATCCCCTATGGGGCAATGTGTGAAGCCCATTTCTGGTCGTTCCCCGCCGTGATGTTGCTGGAATATTACTAAAAGCGGCGTAAAACCAAACTCAGTCAGTCAGTATTGACATCAAGTAACAACATACATAGATAAGCACGGGATTCCTATGTTTGTGGGGCAGGGTCAACTGCCCAGCGTGCTCATGCGTTAAGAGTGCTGTCGAACCCAGTATATAGGTTTCTTGCATACTTAGAGAGTCAACTCTACAGTGAGTGGGTTTAGTTTTACAAGGCACTCGGCAATATTACAGCTATATAGCTGCAACCTGTAAATAGTCGAGTCTGGACCAGATATTCAGTGATCAACAGCATGAGCATCGATCTACCTAACTGAGATACGATGACGTGTGTCAACCAAGTCAGCGAGCCTGACGACCCGATCCAGTTAGTCTCCTCTTACGACAAGCATGGGTTACTGAAGATCAATTCTAACCCGGATCTTCACTGGTCCAACTCTACAGTGAATTGAGGCACCTTAGACGACTGTGTCAACCCGTTGTCCTGGCAACATATGCTTCATGCTGTCAACCTTTTGATTGATTGCGGTTTCACTGTACACAAGCTGCGATCGTTAAGGCTGATATACTGACAGTGGCATAAAATAGCAGTGTACATAAAGACCTCACGAAAACTTGTTCGTTTATTGAAACAAAAGGTCAAGACTGATTTATTGGCAGATTACGAAATTTGCAGATGACCCTTTTCTCAAAGTGTCCAAAGTAATCAATTATGTTTATCTAAATAATTCATTTTTTTAAAAAAATTTTTTGTTGTTGTTGTTTAACGCCAATATTCCAGCTGTATGGTGGCGGTCTGTAAATCGTCAGGACCAGACAATCCAGTGTTCAACAGCATGAGCATCGACCTTCGCGAACCTATTAGTCGCCTCTTACATTCAGGGTCTGCTAAATAATTAGACTAAGGCTTAGTCTCTGAATATATATAATTTTGATAGTAACAAACAAGCCTATTTATATTGAAAAGGAGCCCTAGAAGGACCAGAGATCCTGAACCTGAGGAAATCTAGACTTGCTTTATTTAGGGCTTTAGCACGGCAGAGAGGGCTTGGCAGTAGGGAAATTAATGTGGTTCAGGGACTGTGAGACAGACTAATAATAATAATAATAATTTATCCCAAACATTCTTAGTACATAGATTCAAAGGGATTTAATACATTTATTTGTGATGTGTAGATTTGAAATCTTAGGATTGCCATGGCCCTAAGCATAGAGAAAAAGTAAATAAATGACATTTCAGAAACTAGGATTATTGCTTATATCAATACTTCCGACTCTGGAATTTATTTTCAGCTACGTTTGACAAGTAACATTCAGATGATATGTGTTAGTTTTCGCAACAACCAAAGCGTGAGTGAGTGAGTTTAGTTTCACGCCACCTTTACCAATATTCCAGCAATATCACGGCAGGAGACACCAGAAATAGGCTTCAAAACATAGTACCCATGTGGGGAATCGAACGCGGGTTTTCAGCGTGAACAGCGAACGCTTTACCCCCACTAGGTTACCCCACCGCCCCCAACAAGCAAAGAATACGATAATATACGCGGAATAATAAGAATGAGATAACAGACAAAGTGAAAAGAAATCTCCCTGAGTTTTGTACCCCTACCCCCAAGAAAGCGCCCCAGTAGAGATACGACCTCCCATTTGTGTTAATCAACCATTTGTACGGTCGGGAAAAGCGCAACAGTTAGGAAAACAGAGTTACCTCCCTTTGGGTTTTCCCCACACAAGGAAGTGTCGTAATTGCTCCGAAATCTTGACATGGGCATGATCGGATTTCTTGGAACTTAATATGAAATCAAGTTTTTTATTCTTATCAAGGAGATCTCAACACGAGTTTTAAAATGCAGTCGTTCTACGCCAGACCGATAAGAAGCGCAAACTGTTTCCGTTACTGTTCCAACCTGGGCGACAGATAACAGCAAATGTGAAAGTGAAAATAGGATTTACAGTTTTAGTGAGAATCGTTTAAGCAGCCTACTTTTCATTTGCACACCAACATGGCGGGCGAAGGTGAGTTTGAGTTATTCCCAGTCGACTCGCCATTCAGCCCACGACATGAAGCTCCATTCGACATCCAGGGAAAAACATTCTACAGTGTTCTACAGTATTTGATGTATCGGAAGGCAGGTACGTTCGAACGCTGAATGAGTATCCAAATGTGTGTTAAGTCAGATGTAACAACATGTATGTACATGAACCAAACTGTCTGTTTTGAGTTGTGTGTGCACATTCCAGTGTCTAAAATTTCAAATTTAACGAAGGACGGATAAAATACCTGATTGAAATGCACCCCCGCAAACCGACAAAATCTCTTGTTATTTTCAACATGGTATGCTATGGATTACTTTTTCATTAGTGAATGTCACCTCGATGAATTACATATACCGTAGATAATGTTTACCAATTACACTTTAGAGTGATTAAAACTGCTTATCACAGTCAAAAGCACCATCAGTTATATGCGACGCATATATCGCGGTATGAACAAATAGTAGTCTATTTTTTTTATAAACAAACTATGGTTTATCTTGAAATGAAAGTGAAATTCGTTAGTAACTACCCAGTAAGGTGTTGCAACATGAACATGAATGTATTTTCTATAACGAAAACGATTTGCAACGTCAGGTCTATATATACACACACATATATATTGTCAGACTTGTGACAAGTAAACAGGGCCTAGATGTTCGAAGCTCTCTTAGTGCTAAGATAGTCGGATGCCATACATTAACATTAACTTACGACTATCTTAGCGCTAAGAGAGCTTCGAAAATCTAGGCCCTGGTCCTTTAAGCAATTATGATCAGCAAACATACTTCCGATCCGCAATAATGATAACAACCTTTGAAGAAATACAGAGTTATTGCAATAAACTTCGATACCTACGTCATCAGAGGCGACTAACGGGATCGGGTGGTCAGACTTGCTGACTGAGTTGAAACATGTCATCGTGTCCCAGCTGATCGATTCTCATGATGTTAATCACTTAATGTTCTGGACCCAACAATTTATTTATTGACTGTCGTGATACAGCTGGAATGTTACTGAAACAAATCCAAAAAGGTACTCATTTCCCTCCCTCCTGATCCAAACGGATGCCATGTGTGTTGTTTGGATAGAATGTCGATTTTGCCATTGTTTTCCAGGAGCTGTGTTATAGATGTCAGTATGTACATCATGCAATTTAAAATCGCATCTTTTACTAAAATAATGTTACTGTTTTCTAAAAGAACAGTTATGAGTTCCATCTTAGATGACGCTTCTATTTTCAGACTTCTTCAAAGATAAGGAACAAGCTATTGGCATCATGGAAACACGTGACCTGAAGATAATAGAACGCTGTGGAAAGAATGTCCGCAACGTCGATAATCGCAAATGGATTAGGGAAAGGATTAAATGGGCTGAACTCGCCCTTGAAGAAAAGGTGTGTGCTGAAGTGTCCCCATCCTCCACTGTCGTTTGTGACACAGAGAGAGAGAGAGAGAGAGAGAGAGAGAGAGAGAGAAAATACTCAGATTTTATAAATCATCAGGTCTCTAGTGTAATCACACACGTTGTTTGTCTGGAGTGAGAGGACAGGCAGAAGCAGGAGGTCTTGGCTCAGCGTGGGGTCTTGGGGAGTGGTGGGGGAGGCTCCCCATGAGTTAATATTAAACACTAGTGACAGCTTACTGAGCTAGAGATCAACTGATAATTACGAGCCATATTCTGGCTTGTGAATTCAGCAGATTGGTACAGACCCTGAAGCTGAGGAAATCTAGACTTGCCACATTTTCTAGACTTGAGTGGGCTTTCTTGGATATATTTGCTTCAGGGTCTGTACGACAGACTATGTCGGATTATACAGCTTCTACTGTATGTGTAAAATGCACCTTCTGTTGTCAGTTCACACAGAATCCAGCCCTAAAGGAACAATTATTTGCCACATTCCCGAGGACACTGGCATATGCCACTACTAAAGACAGGTTCTGGAGTATTGGGCTATCGGCTGCAAATCCCAAAGCTTTGTCCGGGAAGGGCTTCGGTGACTGTAACGTATATGGCGATGTTCTTACTAAAATCAGGGACAAGCTCATGAAGATGGAGAACAGGCTACAGGAGAATGACCAGATGCAAGATAAAAGGGTGGAGGTACAGGCGGGTCGGGATGAAAGAAGACAGCGGTGCGAAGGGAACAGCCATTGGGTAGAGGGACAGGTAGATGGGGATGAGAGAAGGCAGGGTGCTGGATCGAACAGCCATGGGGTAGAGGGACAGGCGGGTCGGGGTGAGAAAAAGATGGGTGATGGAGGAAATGGGAGAAGGCGGTTTGGTAGAGGAAAGAGCCATTGGGTAGAGGGACGGGATGGGGGAAGGGAGAGTGGTGGAGGGAACAGCCAAGCGGTAGAGGGACAGACGCGGCAGCATGAGAGATGGCAGGGTGGTGGAAGGAACAGCCATAAGGTAGAAGGACGGGATGGGAGAAGGGAGGGTGGTGGAGGGAACAGCCAAGCGGTAGAGGGACAGACGTGGCAGGATGAGAGATGGCAGGGTGGTGGAAGGAACAGCCATAAGGTAGAAGGACGGGATGGGAGAAGGGAGGGTGGTGGAGGGAACAACCAAGCGGTAGAGGGACAGACGTGGCAGCATGAGAGATGGCCGGGTGGTGGAGGGAACCGCCATGAGGTAGAAGGACGGGATGGGAGAAGGGAGGGTGGTGGAGGGAACAGCCAAGCGGTAGAGGGACAGACGTGGCAGCATGAGAGATGGCCGGGTGGTGGAGGGAACCGCCATGAGGTAGAAGGACGGGATGGGAGAAGGGAGGGTGGTGGAGGGAACAGCCAAGCGGTAGAGGGACAGGCGGGACGGGATGGGGGAAGGCAGGGTGGTATAGAAAACAGCCATCGGGTTGAGGGACAGGATAGGGGAAAGAAGGATGCTGGAGGGAACAGACATGGGGTAGAGGGACAGGCGGGACGGGATGGGGGAAGGCAGGGTGGTGGAGGAAGCAGTCATGGCGTAGAGAGACAGGCGGGACGCGATGGGAGAAGGGAGGGCGAAGAAGGGAACAGCCATTGGGTAGAGGGACAGGCGGGTTGGGAAGAGAGATGGCAGGGTGGTGGAGGGAACAGCCATGTAGAAGGACAGGCAAGGTGGGACAGAATGAATCAGAATGGGAGATGGGAGAGCCAAATGACAGGTCAATCGAGTCTGGATTACAAGGTGCAGGGTGGGGATGCAAAAACACAAGGGACAGAAGAACACAGCTCCGAGGGAAACAATAGACAGGGCGGGAAAGAGATGAGCCTAGGGATGGAAGGGCATACAATTCGTGGTAGTGAAAGAAAAGGCGGGAAAAGGAGGCTCCAAAAGGCAGAAGGACATAAAGCTCAAAGTAGCAACAGGGAGGAGAGTTATGGTGGGGAAGGTGAGAGGAGGCACAAAGGCTTGGAGGAACATCACGTGACGGGTGAAGAGTACAAAGAATCAGACAGGATGTCGGACTGGCAGAAAATAACCGACGAGATGCCACTTTGGGATGAAACAGAACTAACGTCTCGTCCCAAGCGAAATATGACAGATGAGCAAACACAACGCGACCTGAACAAACACGGATGGAGAAACACGGGGCCGAAAAACACTAAAGGGTTCTACACAGAAATGCTTAACCAGGATAAATTTGTCCTTTTTTTCGGCAATCAGTCGCCATTCAGCCAGCACCATCCAGCCAAATTCGTCATGCACGATAGGCAATTCAACTGTGCTGAGCAGTTCATGATGTATCAGAAGACCGGTAAATACGATGTTTTGTTCTTCTGAATTCTACATATGTACTTTCTTGATTAAGGATTTAAGGAATTAATTTGTCTTAGAAAGAACTTGAGCTAATCATGTTCTACTTATAGTAATTATTTTTTGGAGTCGGTGTTGGGGTAGGGTGAGCGCCTCTCCCCTTTATCTTTCAGTATGCGCCAATCCATGTTTTTTGGTGTATTCATTTTCCACACCCAAACAAGTGTTCAGTTGTCTTTGCAGTAATATTTAGGAACATAATGTCAGTCTAAGTGTTTGTTTCTCCATGTTTGACGCGTAAAGATCCAGGTTAGAATATTGATCTTCAGTAACCCTTGCTTGTCGTGAGAGGCGATTAACGGGATCGGGTGGACAGGCTCGCTAACTTGGTTGAAGTCTGTCATACAGACCTTGAAACAAATATATCCAAGAAATCCCATGCAAGTCTAGAATTTGTGGCAAGTCCAGACTTTCAATTTCTGAAAATGAAGAAAGTCTCTGGGCTCTGTTTCATTATATGTTATGAACAGGTTTTTTTCTGCACAATATGTTCATTTCACGGACTAGATGTTAGTTTAACTTGGTTGATTCATGTCAACGTATCCCAATTACTGGAATGTTGCTGAGTGCGTTTTTTAACAACAAACAAAAACAAAAACTCTTGATATTTGTATTCACTATCTGCTTCATACAAGTGATGATTTATGCATGCAGTTTGGAACATAATGTATGTCTATACTCTATATAATATGTTTGTCTCTTCGTGTTTGTATTCACTATCCACTTCATACAAGTGTTGGCTTATCCTTGCAGTTATATTTAAGAACAAAGAAATGGAACGGAAGATCATGGGGACGTCTAACCCGGTGGAACAGAAGCGTTACGGGCGGCAGATCCCAGAATTCAAATTCGAAGTATGGAAGAAACACTTCATAGATGTGGTTGAGCGGGCAACGGAGGCTAAGGTTTGATTTGTTACATGTTCATACAAGTGTCTTCTGAAGGTGTCAACTAACACTGCATGAGACACTCTTTATACGCCATGCCACAACATTCGATTATGACCCATGGTTTGTCGTCACCATTTCTTATTACGTCTTCTCTTGCTTAAACAGCATAGGAGTTTTCACAATCACGGCATCAGTGAAACTTGTCGAAACATTCAAAAGGCATCCAATGGTTAGATAATGATATCACGGCACGTTTTCTAAGGTGCAATGCTTAGATAAATGCATTAGGGCGGCTTGTCTAAACGACTAATGAGGTCTGGATAATGGCATTAAAAACGTTTCGTTAATGGCATCACGGCAAGTTGTCTAAACATTCAAGGTATAGATAATGGCTTTTACAGTTTATGTTGACTAAACATCCAATAAGGTTTGGAAAATGGCATAAATAAGTTTAGATAATGGCGTCAAGATGGTTTAAGTAATGACATTACGACAGTTACGTATAATAGCTGGAAAGTATTAAACATCTTACATGTTTGTAGTCTTTGTTCACTCACCACAACTGGCAACCCAAGGGATTCAGGGTTAGATTTGGTTCCTAGCAGCCTTGGAGTTGAAATTGTTGCAAGACGTGACTTACTGGATTGGATGACCACAGTCTCTGTTATAAGATTGATGTCGTCGGGTCACCGTTCCCGACCACGTAGATCGTTGTTGATGATACAAATCACTGGAGTGTCTGATCCACACAATATGTACCTGTCGTCAATGTAGCTGGAACATGATAATGGATAGGCGCGTATAGTGAGAAGATGAGAGAAACTAATCATTAATTACTGAGTCAAAAAAGAAACTTCACAAAATGTAATTTGAAAAATAATGAATAATTTTTCTCTGATGATACATCTATGTATCCGAAATGGGATCCCTATCTTTCGACTCTAGAAAAACGTTAGCAAAACCCACTCAAACCCATCCATTCGTCGTGCAAATGACGTTAGTGCCAAATCAGGTTTTGCACGTGCAGTCGATCACGTGATCTTCGTATCGAAGTTGTCTTTATATGCACGTGTTTGCATTGGCCTCCAGAATTGAAAAAACACTTTTAAACCACAGTTCTAACGGTACTTGAAATGCCACGATTGTCAAATGTGCAACGTTAACGTGCCGTTGGCATGTTGCAAGCGGGAAGATCAGTTATTGACATCGCAAGAGCAATGTGATGCAGCCGTCGTACTGGGTATGACCTGCGAGGTCGTCTTCAACAAACTAGCACCACTTCTGATCGCCCAAGGTCGGGTAGTCCACGTGTGACGTCACGAGCAGAAGACCGTTAAATCGTCCTACGTCACCTCCGTGACAGATTTCTGCCGGCTACACGAACCAGGGCTGAGATGTTTAGAGGTCGACTGTCCTCACAGACCATTCGAAATCGATTGCAGGCTGCCAATATCCATTCTCGACGTCCATATCGGAGGCCAATATTGACGCCGTTTCATCAACGTCAACGTCTGCTGTGGGACCAACGTCACCTCCGATGGACCCAGAGAGACTGCAATCGAGTCGTCTTTAGCGATGAATTTACCCTCAGATTCGTGGACGGCAGGCATAGAGTCTGGAGACGACGTCGTGAACGGTATGCCCAATGTTGTGTACAGGAAGTCGACAAATTCGGGGGCGGAAGTTGCATGGTGTGGGGTGCTTTCTGTGGGAACAACCGTTCCGACTTCTGGTCATCCGTGGAAACCTCACAGCTGATGCTTACCGCGACCAGGTGCTCACCCCTGAACTCGTTCCTTTCATGGCGGCACATGGCCAAGGTCTACAGTTCCAGCATGATAATGCTTTCGGCCGCGATACCGCGATGTTGACACGAAATTTCCTTCAAAACGCTGGAATCAACGTCATGGACTGGCCATCGAGGTCCCCTGACCTTAATCCAATAGAGCACGTTTGGGATGCACTTGTGAGAAGGCTTCGTGGTCTTAGGAACCAACCTCAGAATTTGCAGGAACTATGCGCTGCCTTGCAAGAGCAATGGCGCAGAATCCCCAACCACATGTTCACAAGCATCAGGCAGTCGATGAGGAGACGGTGTTTGGCAGTGGTGACTGCACGGGGCCGCCATACACGATATTGAACTGTGAAATTTCACATTTTTATTCTTGTGACTTGACATTCTGTATACCCATGTTTTGGAACGGCGGTGTAGCCTAATGGAACTGATTATGGCACTGTCAGTGTATCGAGTACATCACACAGATCTCAGCAATGAAATAATAACAATTTAACCATCTTACCATCTCTTGTTCTTTTAAAGTGCCCTGAAGAAAGAATGCGAAGTTTCTTTTTTGATTCAGTACAAACCAAGGTTGTTTTTATAGCTATTACAACTGAATTCAGTTTTAAACAACATTTATACATTGTCCAGTGCATAGTATAGAATACACTTAGAAATACTTTAAGCACCGTTTTTGCGACTTTTTTTGTACACGAAATACCCATGCAGTCCTTAATTATCTTGTTCTTGTTTCAGTAGCCCATTTCTGGTGTTCCCCGTATGTTATTGCTTGAATATTGCTAAAACCGGCATAATACTGAACTCACTCACTCTTGTTTCAGTTCACTCAGAATCCACATTTGCAGGAACCCCTGTTCGCCACGTACCCCAAGCTCTTGGTGATGGCGAGTCCATCAGACCGATTGTGGGGAATAGGGCGAAGCCAAAAAGACCCGTTAGCCTGGGATAAAGAGACATGGCGGGGAAAAAACCAGCTTGGCTATATAATTACCCGAGTGAGAGATAGACTGATGGAGAAGGAGGACACGCACTGGGAGGAATGGGAGAAGTGGAAAGACGACAAGAGATGGGAGGAAATGGAGGAGGAGGAGAAGATGAAAAAGAGGAGAAGGGAACAATTGAATTTGGACAGTGGAAATACCAAAGAAAGGAATCTCAAAACCAGACGCGAATGTGACAGGGCCAGTGATGATGGGGTGACACAGAAGGAAGATAGCTCCATGTACCAATCCAGACGAGGATCTTACAAACATGTGTCCGGGAAAGAAAACTTTGAATTTTTCGGGGGCATCAAGTCTCCATTTGCTGATGATCAACAACAAGGTGACCGATCATTGGATGCAACAGACACCAACACTGATGTTACTACAGAATCTCCAAAATGAGGATGCTGTGTCTAACGAGAAACAGGATCCAGATGAAGACGAACTGTTCCTAAGATCACAAGTCCCTGCCCTCAAGAGATTGCCTCCACGAAAAAAGGCAGAAGTTAAGTTTTTAATTCATAAGCTTTTTTACAAGGCCGAGTGTTTCCCTGATATGCAACTGAACGTCCAGACTACGCAGATTGGATTTCAAAATCAAACCTATGCTCCACTTCGCATGAATTCCATGAATCAAGATTGAGATTTTACTGATTCATCTCAGAGGTACCAAAATCTCTGATTCTGTGACAATGTGTTGAACGGTTTCAAAACATGTTTTTCGGTTCTTAATGTTTATTGGTTCTGTGAAAGAAAATTTACCTTTTATTTTACTTACCGCATCGGTAAATGCAAAAGATATTTTTGTGATAAACGAACCAGATAGTTCCTGATTATTTCTTCTGTATTGTTAAGGTTGGCATGTCTCTTTTCTTGTCAAGAATTACCAGTTTGGAATAAAGGAATGTTACTGCAAGTCTTTCTTTGGCAGGAATCATTGTTTGTAAGCTGGTTGGCTTTCTAGAAATGCTAGGTCCAATGAGAGCCAGTAATTCTTCAAACTGTTCTTTAGACATCCTGAAGTGAAAGAAACGTCCGGCATCCAATTCCAACTCTTTGACAAGACGGTAGTATTCTCCATATTCTCTTCTATTTTGCAGGATACTGTGCACCCATGTTGAATGTGTTCTATGTCGTTGTTTCCACCGCCAGTAAACATACATGAGCATCACAGTTTTCTTTGTTCGATTCATGTCCTTCTTCTGAAACACACTAACAAAAGAAATGTAATATGACAAAGTCAACAAAATTTTAATTTCAGTTCAATTTTTGTATGGATAGACGCGGTAACGCGCTGCTCGAAAAGAGGCACAGAATAAACGCGCCCTGACGCGCTGCTTAGCACAGCGCTGCTTGCGCAGCTTCCTGTATGGACGGCCGCCTTGAGGATATACATCGTTTTCTTCATAATAAAGAAGTTGACATCCATAAAACTATTTTCCTTATTGTACAGGATGAAGCTGATACGTTGCTTGTATTTTTTCAGTTCTCTCAGAATTCCGACTTGAAGGAGAAACTGTTTGCCACGTACCCAAAGCTCTTAGCCATGAGTGAATATGAAGAACGTTTCTGGGGTATCGGATATGGTTTAGGAAACAGGATGGGAAGACAATTCTGATGGAAGAAGGCTGGACTATGAATAAAGCTATGGTAGGTGGAGAAGAAGGGAAAATTAAGGATGTTGAACTGACATCTAAAGATGAAGAAAGAGTAGTAAGTATGAAAATAGGAAGAACAGATGAAAGCAGACTACTTGGTGGACAGGATGTGAAGGAGAATTGGGATGATGAAATGGAAGAAGTCACTTCCTCTCAAGATTGTGAGAGTGAGAACAAAGATGCTCATACCGCATTTGGTTGTGACAAGGGCATGATGGAAAAGGATCAGAGAGCAAGGAACAGCGTAGGAGAGGAAGACAAGTTTGAGCTTGTCCCGGTTAAAGGAGAGGATGGCGGCACTGAGGAACAGGATGTAGGCGGCCTATACAACACAGACGTGGGTGAGGGAACCTCGGTGGAACAACAGAAGGTGGAGAAGAATGATGGAAAGGAACTGGGGAAGATACAGGAAGTGAAGACAACAGAAGATGTCACGTCTGTGCCTGATACCTCGAAGGAAGATGATGACGAAGGGAGGACGATGGATGAGAGAGAGGAGAAGAAAAGTAATGGCATAATGCAGGAAGTGAAGACAACAGAAGATTTCACATCTGTGCCTGATACCTCGAAGGAAGATGATGACGAAGGGAGGACGATGGACGAGAGAGAGGAGAAGAAAAGTAATGGCACAATGCAGGAAGCGAAGACAACAGAAGATGTCACATCTGTGCCTGATACCTCAAAGGAAGATGATGACGAAGGGAGGATGATACATGACAGAGAGGAGAAGAAAAGTAATGGCACAATGCAGGAAGTGAAGACAACAGAAGATGTCACATCTGTGCCTGATACCACGAACGAAGAGGATGACAAAGGGAGGGCGATACATGAGGGAGAGGAGAAGAAAAGTCATGGCACAATGCAGGATATGAAGACAACAGAAGATGTCACATCTGTGCCTGATACCTCAAAGGAAGATGATGACGAAGGGAGGACGATACATGAGGGAGGAGAAGAAAAGTAATGGCACAATGCAGGAAGTGAAGACAACAGAAGATGTCACATCTTTGCCTGATACCTCAAAGGAAGATGATGACGAAGGGAGGACGATACATGAGGGAGAGGAGAAGAAAAATAATGGCACAATGCAGGAAGTGAAGACAATAGAAGATGTCACATCTTTGCCTGATACCTCAAAGGAAGATGATGACGAAGGGAGGACGATGCATGAGAGAGAGGAGAAGAAAAGTAATGGCACAATGCAGGAAGTGAAGACAATAGAAGATGTCACATCTGTGCCTGATACCACGAAGGAAGATGATGACGAAGGGAGGATGATACATGAGGGAGAGGAGAAAAAGTAATAGCACAATGCAGGAAGTGAAGACAACAGAAGATTTCACATCTGTGCCTGATACCTCGAAAGGAAGATGATGACGAAGGGAGGACGATACATGAGAGAGAGGAGAAGAAAAGTAATGGCACAATGCAGGAAGTGAAGACAACAGAAGATCTCACATCTGTGCCTGATACCACGAAGGAAGATGATGACGAAGGGAGGATGATACATGAGGGAGAGGAGAAGAAAAGTAATAGCACAATGCAGGAAGTGAAGACAACAGAAGATTTCACATCTGTGCCTGATACCTCAAAGGAAGATGATGACGAAGGGAGGACGATACATGAGAGAGAGGAGAAGAAAAGTAATGGCACAATGCAGGAAGTGAAGATTAACAGAAGATCTCACATCTGTGCCTGATAATCTCGGAAGGAAGATGATGACGAAGGTAGGACGATATGAGAGGAGAGAAGAAGAAAAGTAATGGAACAATGCAGGAAGTGAAGACAACAGAAGATGTCACATCTGTGCCTGATACCCCGAAGGAAGATGATGGAGGGAGGAGGACGATACATGAGGGAGAGGAGAAGAAAAGTAATGGTACAGTGCAGGAAGTGAAGACAACAGAAGATGTCACATCTGTGCCTGATACCCCGAAGGAAGATGATGGCGGAGGTAGGACGATACATGAGGGAGAGAAGAAGAAAAGTGATGGTCCAATGCAGGAAGTGAAGACAACAGAAGATGTCACATCTGTGCCTGATACACCGAAGGAAGATGATGGCGGAGGTAGGACGATACATGAGGGGGAGAAGAAGACAAGTGATGGTCCAATGCAGGAAGTGAAGACAACAGAAGATGTCACATCTATGCTTGATACCCCGAAGGAAGATGATGGCGGAGGGAGGGCGATACACGAGAGAGAGAAGAAAAGTGATGGTCCAATGCAGGAAGTGAAGACAACAGAAGATGTCACATCTGTGCCTGATACCCCGAAGGAAGATGATGGCGGAGGGAGGACGATACATGAGGGAGAGGAGAAGAAAAGTAATGGTACAGTGCAGGAAGTGAAGACAACAGAAGATGTCACATCTGTGCCTGATACCCCGAAGGAAGATGATGGCGGAGGGAGCGCGATACACGAAGAGAGAAGAAAAGTGATGGTCCAATGCAGGAAGTGAAGACAACAGAAGATGTCACATCTGTGCCTCATACCCCAAAGGAAGATGATGGCGGAGGTAGGACGATACATGAGGGAGAGGAGAAGAAAAGTAATGGCACAATGCAGGAAGTGAAGACAACAGAAGATTTCACATCTGTGCCTGATACCTCAAAGGAAGATGATGGCGGAGGGAGGACGATACATGAGGGATAGGAGAAGAAAAGTAATAGCACAATGCAGGAAGTGAAGACAATAGAAGATGTCACATCTGGTGCCTGATACCACCTAAGGAAGATGATGACCAAGGAGGACGATGCATGAGGGAGAGGAGAAGAAAAGTAATGGCACAGTGCAGGAAGTGAAGACAAGAGAAGATGTCACTTTTGTGCATGATACCACCTAAGGAAGCTGATGACGGAAGGAGGACGATACATGAGGGAGAGGAGAAGAAAAAGTAATAGCACAATGCAGGAAGTGAAGACAACAGAAGATTTCACATCTGTGCCTGATACCTCGAAGGAAGATGATGGCGGAGGTAGGACGACATACATGAGGAGAGAAGAAGAAAAGTAATGGAACAATGCAGGAAATGAAGACAACAGAAGATGTCACATCTGTGCTTGATACCCCGAAGGAAGATGATGACGAAGGGAGGACGATACACGAGAGAGAGAAGAAAAGTGATGGTCCAATGCAGGAAGTGAAGACAACAGAAGATGTCACATCTGTGCCTGATAACTCCTAAGGAAGATGATGAGAGGAGGACGATACATGAGGGAGAGGAGAAGAAAAAGTAATGGTACAGTGCAGGAAGTGAAGACAACAGAAGATGTCACATCTGTGCCTGATACCCTCAAGGAAGATGATGCATGGAGGTAGACGATACATGAGGGAGAGAAGAAGAAAAGTGATGGTCCAATGCAGGAAGTGAAGACAACAGAAGATGTCACATCTGTGCCTGATAATTCCTCGGCTAAGGAAGATGATGGCGGAGGTAGGACGATACATGAGGGGGAGAAGAAGACAAGTGATGGTCCAATGCAGGAAGTGAAGACAACAGAAGATGTCACATCTATGCTTGATACCCCGAAGGAAGATGATGGCGGAGGGAGGGCGATACACGAGAGAGAGAAGAAAAGTGATGGTCCAATGCAGGAAGTGAAGACAACAGAAGATGTCACATCTGTGCCTGATACACCGGAGGAAGATGATGGCGGAGGGAGGACGATACATGAGGGAGAGGAGAAGAAAAGTATTGGCACAATGCAGGAAGTGAAGACAACAGAAGATTTCACATCTGTGCCTGATACCTCAAAGGAAGATGATGACGAAGGGAGGACGATACATGAGGGATAGGAGAAGAAAAGTAATAGCACAATGCAGGAAGTGAAGACAATAGAAGATGTCACATCTGTGCCTGATACCACGAAGGAAGATGATGACGAAGGGAGGACGATGCATGAGGGAGAGGAGAAGAAAAGTGATGGCACAGTGTAGGAAGTGAAGACAATAGAAGATGTCACTTTTGTGCATGATACCACGAAGGAAGCTGATGACGAAGGGAGGACGATACATGAGGGAGAGGAGAAGAAAAGTAATAGCACAATGCAGGAAGTGAAGACAACAGAAGATTTCACATCTGTGCCTGATACCCCGAAGGAAGATGATGGCGGAGGTAGGACGATACATGAGGGAGAGAAGAAGAAAAGTAATGGAACAATGCAGGAAATGAAGACAACAGAAGATGTCACATCTGTGCTTGATACCCCGAAGGAAGATGATGACGAAGGGAGGACGATACACGAGAGAGAGAAGAAAAGTGATGGTCCAATGCAGGAAGTGAAGACAACAGAAGATGTCACATCTGTGCCTGATACCCCGAAGGAAGACGATGGCGGAGGTAGGACGATACATGAGGGAGAGAAGAAGAAAAGTGATGGTCCAATGCAGGAAGTGAAGACAACAGAAGATGTCACATCTGTGCCTGATACCTCAAGGAAGATGATGCATGAGGTAGGACGATACATGAGGGGGAGAAGAAGACAAGTGATGGTCCAATGCAGGAAGTGAAGACAACAGAAGATGTCACATCTATGCTTGATACCCCAAAGGAAGATGATGGCGGAGGGAGGGCGATACACGAGAGAGAGAAGAAAAGTGATGGTCCAATGCAGGAAGTGAAGACAACAGAAGATGTCACATCTGTGCCTGATACCCGAAGGAAGATGATGGCGGAGGGAGGACGATACATGAGGGAGAGGAGAAGAAAAGTAATAGCACAATGCAGGAAGTGAAGACAACAGAAGATTTCACATCTGTGCCTGATACCCCGAAGGAAGATGATGGCGGAGGTAGGACGATACATGAGGGAGAGAAGAAGAAAAGTAATGGAACAATGCAGGAAATGAAGACAACAGAAGATGTCACATCTGTGCTTGATACCCCGAAGGAAGATGATGACGAAGGGAGGACGATACACGAGAGAGAGAAGAAAAGTGATGGTCCAATGCAGGAAGTGAAGACAACAGAAGATGTCACATCTGTGCCTGATACCCCGAAGGAAGATGATGGCGGAGGTAGGACGATACATGAGGGAGAGAAGAAGAAAAGTGATGGTCCAATGCAGGAAGTGAAGACAACAGAAGATGTCACATCTGTGCCTGATACCCCGAAGGAAGATGATGGCGGAGGTAGGACGATACATGAGGGGGAGAAGAAGACAAGTGATGGTCCAATGCAGGAAGTGAAGACAACAGAAGATGTCACATCTATGCTTGATAATTCCAAAGGAAGATGATGGCGGAGGAGGAAGATACACGAGAGAGAGAAGAAAAGTGATGGTCCAATGCAGGAAGTGAAGACAACAGAAGATGTCACATCTGTGCCTGATACCCGAAGGAAGATGATGGCGGAGGGAGGACGATACATGAGGGAGAGGAGAAGAAAAGTAATGGCACAATGCAGGAAGTGAAGACAACAGAAGATTTCACATCTGTGCCTGATACCTCAAAGGAAGATGATGACGAAGGGAGGACGATACATGAGGGATAGGAGAAGAAAAGTAATAGCACAATGCAGGAAGTGAAGACAATAGAAGATGTCACATCTGTGCCTGATACCACGAAGGAAGATGATGACGAAGGGAGGACGATGCATGAGGGAGAGGAGAAGAAAAGTAATGGCACAGTGCAGGAAGTGAAGACAATAGAAGATGTCACTTTTGTGCATGATACCATGAAGGAAGCTGATGACGAAGGGAGGAGGATACATGAGGGAGAGGAGAAGAAAAGTAATAGCACAATGCAGGAAGTGAAGACAACAGAAGATTTCACATCTGTGCCTGATACCCTGAAGGAAGATGATGGCGGAGGTAGGACGATACATGAGGGAGAGAAGAAGAAAAGTAATGGAACAATGCAGGAAATGAAGACAACAGAAGATGTCACATCTGTGCTTGATACCTCGAAGGAAGATGATGACGAAGGGAGGACGATACACGAGAGAGAGAAGAAAAGTGATGGTCCAATGCAGGAAGTGAAGACAACAGAAGATGTCACATCTGTGCCTGATACCCCGAAGGAAGATGATGGCGGAGGGAGGACGATACATGAGGGAGAGGAGAAGAAAAGTAATGGTACAGTGCAGGAAGTGAAGACAACAGAAGATGTCACATCTGTGCCTGATACCCCGAAGGAAGATGATGGCGGAGGTAGGACGATACATGAGGGAGAGAAGAAAAGTGATGGTCCAATGCAGGAAGTGAAGACAACAGAAGATGTCACATCTGTGCCTGATACCCCGAAGGAAGATGATGGCGGAGGTAGGACGATACATGAGGGGGAGAAGAAGGCAAGTGATGGTCCAATGCAGGAAGTGAAGACAACAGAAGATGTCACATCTATGCTTGATACCCCGAAGGAAGATGATGGCGGAGGGAGGGCGATACACGAGAGAGAGAAGAAAAGTGATGGTCCAATGCAGGAAGTGAAGACAACAGAAGATGTCACTTTTGTGCATGATACCACGAAGGAAGCTGATGACGAAGGGAGGACGATACATGAGGGATAGGAGAAGAAAAGTAATAGCACAATGCAGGAAGTGAAGACAACAGAAGATTTCACATCTGTGCCTGATACCTCAAAGGAAGATGATGACGAAGGGAGGACGATACATGAGGGAGAGGAGAAGAAAAGTAATAGCACAATGCAGGAAGTGAAGACAATAGAAGATGTCACATATGTGCCTGATACCACGAAGGAAGATGATGACGAAGGGAGGACGATACAATACTCAGCAATATTCCAGCTATATGGCGGCGTGTGTATGTGCATGTGCGGCTGCTTGTATTAGCCCAGACTTAAGCTGGTTTTATAGTGCTAGCCCACTGAGATACCATGCCCCAGTGAAGCATGTATACCCCACTCAGACACATTCTGTACAAAAAGTAAAAGTAAAAATATACTACTCACAATTTGATAGGGATCATAGAAAGTTAATTAACATATGCAAGCAGGTTTTGTTACTGCCGTTGATAAACGACACTGTTAAAAGGACACGCAGGCAGTGTCATAAACACTGCACGTGCATTTCATGACATTAGATGAGAATGGAGCCTCCCTTTTCTTGCTTAGATGTAAACGTCACGTTGTCAGCTCACATTTCAATGACTTGTGTGTGGATTGTTGATGAAGGTTTTGACATTTCAATACGTTTGCCATTACTTTTAACACTCATGATGCCTCTTCAACGTCAAAGACGTCGTTTGATGCCAGAGCAATTGGGGAGATGAATCGGCATGCTTGAATCAGGCTTCTTACAACGTAACGTTGCGAATGCACTAAACGTCAGCCAAAGCGTTGTTAACAGAGTGTGGAACTGGCATCAAACCTTTGGTACGACAGCACAGTCATGGCGGTGGTCGTCAAGGTGAGGTGAGGTGAAATTTGGCTTTACGTCGTGCTTGAGAATATTTCGGTCATATGACGACGTGCATGCGTGTGTATGTGTATGTGCGGCTGCTTGTACTAGCCCAGACTGACGCTGTTTTTATAGTGCTAGCCCACTGAGATACGATATCGCAGTGAAGCATGAATACCCCACTCAGACACATTATACTGACTCCGAGCCGACCAGTCCTAGTTGTACCCATTAATGCCGAGCGCCAGGCAGGCACCAACAAGTACCATATTTTAACATCTTTTGGTATGACGCGGTCGGGGATCGAACCCGCGACCTTCCGCTCTCTGGGCGGACGCTCAAACCACTACACCACGGAGGCGGTACCTGTGGTCGTCAAACGTCGACCACACAATGACAAGACCACTTAATCAACGTTCAGGTACGACATCATCCTTTCTGGACAGTCACCAGACTCTGAAATGACCTCCTTAACGCCTCGGGCGTTAACGTATCCACCCAGACAATACGGAAACGTCTTCATGCAGCTGGCCTCCAGGAGGGCACGTGTTCGCATCCCACTGACCGTACGTCACAGGCGGGAACGTTTGATTTGGGCTCATGATCATGTCACTTGGACACATAACGACTGGGTACCAGTTCTCTTTACTGATGAGTCGCGATATTGTTTGAACTTTACTGACAGAAGTCAACAGGTGTGGAGAAGAGAAAGGGTAAAGGTTTAACGATGCTAACATTAGCGAACACGACCGTTATGGGGGGAGGATCTATCATGGTCTGGGGAGGAATCAGCAGAAACGGAAAAACCGATCGGCATGTCTTTGTGAGTGGCACGATACTCTGACATCGCGGCAGTCATCTAATGGCGTGAAAACATCAGAGAAGCAGAAACACCACGCCCACATCGGCTGGTTACATATGCAAATAACGTAAATAAATTCTTCATCGCTCTTGATAAAGTCATTTATTTCACTGGAATGTGAATCGTATTCATCTTTGCAGTAAGGACTGGAACATTTCGAAACTAGTATGACTTCTACCGCCAAATTGCATTTTGCACGAATCAAAACTTCCTTGTCAAGAGTAATCCTGTGACAACTATAAAGTTATTTGTATATTTTCCGTCCTAACTCTATAACAGGAAGTGGCGTATTGAGTTACCTCACCCTGCAATCGGCAGCAAATTGTGGCCTGACCTCATTTCGCCTACACCCTTATCAAAACAAATTTAGGGTTGACTGCACATCACATAAATGCTGTTGTACCTTTAGAAAAGTAGACTCTTCCGCTACTGAGGTATTCTTCCATTAATGAAAATAAACTCTTGCAATGATGGTTTATACTTTAATAGGTCATATATTCGACAAGTTAAAATACCAATATCATCACAATGATCAGTCACATAAGTTAGTCACCAACACCACCATCATCATAATCATCAGTCACAGAACGATTACTGTAATTTCACTAAAGTTAAAATTTCACAAGTTAAAATACAGAGGCAAGTAGTTAAAATACCAATATCATCACAATGATCAGTCACATAAGTTAATCACCAACACCACCATCACCATAATCATCAGTCACAGAACAATTTAATGTAATTTCACCAAGTGTCCAACTGCATCTAGAAACTGCATCACAGTTTTTCGTCCTGTTGCCAGGTGTAGCTTTTGTCTCTCAATTCGGGCATCTCTGCCCCTGTCAATACGGCTGAAGGGGTCGTTGTCGGCACAGGTACTACAGAAATGTACCCTAGCCAAAGTAAATGTACAGAATCGTACCCTAGGACGATCCCATTCTGCATCGCGATGAGCGCTAAACCGGTTTCTCGAACGCGTACTAAACATTATTCCTGCCTGTCAAACCGCGGAAATATTCAACATGGCAGTGCGTGTTCGTCAGGAAGAACTATATACCTTCCTTCCGCTGTCAGTTATAAAATATCAGACAATCGATTTTTCTTGAGCATGACGTCCCCTGTAGTCCGTTATACAGAAAATTGAAAGCTGTCTACAATGTGTGTGTGTGTGGTGTGTGTGTGGGGGAACGACATACTTCGTACATATCCAGCGCTGTTCTCTCAGGAGCGAAACTTTTTAAGTTTTGGGTGTCCTGAAAGGGCCGTTTCCAAATCGTTCCCACCAACAGCTGTCGTAAATGAACATGGGAAATCGTCATCATCTTCTTGATCGGAACTCTCATACTGTCGTATGAGCTCCATATTCGATTGCGTTAGAATACAGACAGACAGACAAACAAACAAACAAAATAGTTTATTTATGTGTCACGTGAATGTACATGTCAAAAAATGGCAACGGTAAAAAGACATAGAAAAATACAAACACCAGGCCAGATGGCCAATGAGACACACTAGACAATATGTGCATAAAATGTATAAAATATAAGATAAAAAACCTGGGGTACCTTCCTGTAGTACCTGTGCCGACAACGACCCCTTTACCGTCAATACGTGCACGAGGTTTCACAGCACCACAAAGACCTGTCTGTCGTCTAGACCGTTTATCTGCTGCCTCAATCTTCTTGATTTCCTTGACGAACTGGTAAATGTTAGGATGTGACCGGGACATTCTCTTCTTCAGTCAATTGTGAAACCCCTCCAGATGGTTGTTGGAGCGAGGTCCAGTGTTGTCGTGCTGGTTCCAGATACTACAGGGAAATCTGGCGTCATCTTCTACCCAGGTACTTGTATCGGTATCAAGCATGAAGCACTGACTGTGAAACTTGCAGAGGTTTATATACGACATTGCAAAAACAGAATGACTAAGTGATCAAAGAACTTGCAGAAGGCAAGTTTATATCACGACATTGCAAATTATACAATCAAACTTGTATGGTTGAGAATAAGATGAGATGAGCATCTTATGTTTATACAATCAAACATGTATGGTTGATCAAAGAAGAACGTAAGCAAGTCATGATTATACAATCAAAACTTGTTGGTTGATCAAAGAAAGTACATAAGCAAGTCATGATAATACAATCAAACATGTATGGTTGATCAAAAGTCATGATTATACAATCAAACC